GGCTCTGGTCTCACCAGTCTCTGGTCTTACCTGGCTCTGGTCTCACCTGTCTCTAAACTTAATAAACAACATTAGTCTTAATAACTGAACATCGGCTTGTTAAGGTGCTGTTTGACGATAAACTTATATAAAGTTATTTGCAATACTTAAACTTAATCATTTAATATATTCTTATTCGAGGCGTTATTGTTTTAAAGTTGCTCCCAGACATTTTTAGTTTAAGAAAATGTATTTTTTAATGATTTTGTTGAAAGAAATCTGAGGTTTAAGCTCAACAGGAATCAGGTTTATGAGTAAAACCAAGTAAAAAATGTCCAAAACTGGATTTAGTCAAACGTCTCCTCATCTCTGTTGAGACGTCTCTTTGGAGGAACCAGTGAGGACAAGAAGACACTGAGTTTTGGAATTTTTTTAAAACAGCCAATTTTAAATGGAAGAGAAGGAGGACAAGGTGAGACAGGGGACTAATAACCCAAGGAAACTGTCCCTGAGTGAGTCCTCGAGTCAGCTCTCTGAGAGACACAGGTTTAAATTGAGTCCTGACTGTAGTGAGAAACTGCTGGAACTGGGGAGTCCCTCAGTGTGTCCCTCAGTGTGTCCCACATTCTGTACCTAAATCTACCCAAGTCTGTCCTACAGTGTGCATTCTATGGTGTGTCCCTCAGTGTGTCCTACAGTGTGTCCTTCAGTGTGTCCCACAACATGTCATGAAGTGTGTCCTATAGTGTCCTACAGTGTGTCTTCTATAGTGTGTGTCCTACAGTGTGTTCTTGTCTGTCCTACAGTCTGTCCTACAGTGTGTCCCTCAGTCTGTCGTACAGTCTGTCCTACAGTCTGTCCTACAGTGTGTCCCTCAGTGTGTTCCACAGTGTGTCCTACAGTGTGTCCCTCAATCTGTCCTACAGTGTGTCCCTCAGTGTGTCCCTCAGTGTGGGAGTAAGGTAGGACAAAGTTGCTGCAGTCGTGTAATAATAATGTTTAGCTGATTGATCTAACAGGAAGTTGTTGTTTGGTTGACCTGATGACAATATTCGTTTGACTCCGTGGTTTTAATGGTGGACGTCTGCTCCTCTGAAGCAGCAACTTTTCTCACAGCAACCTGTGAAACGTAAAAACAACCAGAGAGGCACTGAACCTGCTCCCTGCGTGAACCTGTTTTCAGAAGCAGCAGTTTCAGAGAAAAAGTAGTAAAAGCGCCTGAGTCCATGTTCCTGTCAGCAGCAAACAGCAGCCAGACGGTGTTTAAAGAGCAGCTGCAGAACATTCAGGAACATTTAGGAGCTGCAGGTCCTCCCAGGAGCCTGAAGAACCTGAGGAATCTGAGCTGGAGAAGCATCAGTGAACAGCTGGAAGGGTTGATGGTTGATACCGATAGCATCAATGTTCTGATGATTCCTTTATATTCAGTCCAAAGTTCAGTTCTGTTCAGTCTGTTAAAGAAAAATGGACCAAACCTTCCTGCCAGGTCCCACTGAAGGTCTGGGTTGGACGTCGTTCTGCTCAGTTGTCTCTTTGGACACTTTATTTAAATACAATTTGAAAGTTTCTCCTGTGTTGTTCTGAGTAAACTCCTGGTAATCCAGTTCGACAAACACGGCGACACTCCGGCTCTAATGTAATCCAGACCTTCAGCCCTCAGAAACCATGTGATTGGTAGACGAGGCTGAAACGTGACGAGTTCTTCAGGCGCATGGAGCTGCTGAGGTCAGTTTGATGTTTGTTATTGCCCTGGTGTTTGAAGCTGAGCTTCACTGCTGGAACCGTTTTACGGCCCGTTTTATTTGGAACCAGCAGCCGACGCACATGACAGGACCGTTAACACAAACCGACCCGAGTGTTAACTGACACCAGAACCTCCAGTTGTTCTCCAACACTTCGTCTCGTTGCACTTTATTGTGAAAAATCCACCCAGAAGCAACAATAAAAGCACTACATCTACAAGGAGGCCGTAAACACGCGGCGGGTGAAACATTAACAAGAAGAACAACAGCGGAGAACAAAACGCACAGCCAGGGACGTTGGTGTCTCGTTACTTCAGCTGCAGATGGGTTTGATGGTTCTGGTTCCAGGCTGTGAGCTCGATGCTGTTTGGGTTTGGAGACGATGAAGGGTATCATCGGAGTTCAAGTCATTTCTAGATGATCCGCTCCAGACATGCCGACAAACAGCAGTTCTGGTCAACTCTGTTGGACTGAAGTTCCTGATCTCCATGGAAACCTTTATTCAGCTGTCTGCTGTTAAAAGGTTTAAAATGTCAGTGCTAATAAAATGAAGGTGGTGTCGGTTCCATTCCCGAAACGTCAAATGTCACCACTGAATTCAAGGTGTGGAGGTACATCATGACCACAGGTGAAGGTTGGACGTTAGTAACCTGAGAACTTTGCCTGTAGGCTCTACTCTCCTCACCAGAACAGTTTGGTCCAGAGTCCACATGACTGCCAGTTCACCTGTCCATCTCCTGCTGGGCCTCACTGATGAAGACACCTTAAGACACTTGAGCACCTCCTCATTCCTAACTGTCGGCAGACGACTCCTTTCCAGTTGGCGTCTGTAACACGAAATAAAATCCCATGACCTGAACATGTTTAAGTCTCAAGGATCTCTTGTTTTGTCCAGCTTCTTACAGAAATATTTAGATTTGTCTGATTTCTGCAGTGAATTGTTTGATGAAGACAATAAAATCAGGAGGCAGTTTATAGATTCAGGGTTTGTAACAGTAAAGACGAGGACAGAGCCGGAGACACAAGACGGAATGAATTAGGAGGACGGGAGAAAACCAAGAAGTGGCTGTCCTGTGAGCGATGATAGGAGAACTGAACCAGGGGTCTGTTCTAGTTTTAAAACCTGAACCAGGGGTCGGTTCTAGTTTTAAAACCTGAACCAGGGGTCGGTTCTAGTTTTAAAACCTGAACCAGGGGGTCGGTTCTAGTTTTAAAACCTGAACCAGGGGTCGGTTCTAGTTTCAAAACCTGAACCAGGGGTCTGTTTTAGTTTCAAAACCTGAACCAGGGGTCTGTTCTAGTTTTAAAACCTGAACCAGGGGTCGGTTCTAGTTTCAAAACCTGAACCAGGGGGTCGGTTCTAGTTTTAAAACCTGAACCAGGGGTCTGTTCTAGTTTCAAAACCTGAACCAGGGGTCGGTTCTAGCTTCAAAACCTGAACTAGGGGTCTGTTCTAGTTTCAAAACCTGAACCAGGGGTCTGTTCTAGTTTTAAAACCTGAACCGGGGGTCGGTTCTAGTTTCAAAACCTGAACCAGGGGGTCTGTTCTAGTTTTAAAACCTGAACCAGGGGTCGGTTCTAGTTTCAAAACCTGAACCAGGGGTCTGTTCTAGTTTCAAAACCTGAACCAGGGGTCGGTTCTAGCTTCAAAACCTGAACCAGGGGTCGGTTCTAGTTTTAAAACCTGAACCAGGTCAGCTGAGGATAATGTGGTTGTAAAACAACTGCATGAATAAAACATAAAAAAATACAGAAAAGGACGGAAGAAACCCCAACTGATGTAAAAATAAACAACCCAAAACCTTCTGATGTGAAAAGTTTTCACTTTTTTCATCGTAGTCAACACCCCCAAACTAACTGTGAGTTTTAAGATTCCAACGGTCCCTGAAGTAGCACGACAACAACAACACGTCATCAGTAAACAACAAAGCAAACCTGACCGACGACCTGAATCTGATGACCTCGGCTCACTTCAAACAGATCTGAGCTGTGATTGGTCGCTGCAGACTGATCTGAGAACAGCCGG